TAGCTTCATTCATCTCTCAGAAATCACGCAGTGACAATTAAAGATACGGAAACCACAGCTCACAATAACATTATTGAAGGTACATGGGATATAAAGAGGGATTAAGAAAAGAAATGTTAAGTATAGTCTGGCACTAAGGAGGCTATTTTTTATACTTTTACGGATTTATGTGGTGATGGCAGTACAGTAGACTCCCGATTATCCGCGCCTGCCACACAAAGTGTTTTTTTTTTTTTTTACAAGCATAAAGCAAAGAAAATAAAAATGTTCACAAAACTGAGCGAAACGTTAAATTTGCTAATATAGTACTTATTTATGGCAAAAATATCCCAGGCCTTCTTAAAACCTTCCCATCTGATGAGTAAGTGATTTCTTAATCACCCTTGCAGTGTACGCTCCACCGTCCTCTCTCGTCTTAATCTTACTGATATGTCCACTTCCTCCCACTCGCCATTGTTAGTTTAAGCCTGATAGTGTTTGCGAACAGGTCGGAGTTAGTTTCTTATCTTTTACTGTGTTCAGTGCTTGTGCTTTTTGGTTTTGAGTTTTTCGTTACCAATTTAAAATGTTGGGAAAACGAAAGAAGGCTGTGTTGATGATTGCGCAAAAACTAGAATTAATTTCCAAAGTAGCAAACGGCGCTACAAGGCAGCAGATGGAATTGGATTATGGAATTGCGGAAACAACAGTGCGTGAGATTCTAAAGCAAAAAGACAAACTGGTAAACTTTGCATCAATGTTGGACAGTGCTTCCGCAATGAAAACGTGAAAAACTATGAAGGGCTAGACACGGCATTTGATGAGCTAGACACGGAGTGGTTAGCTCAATTTCGACAAGAGGGTACTCCTTACTTCTGTAAATGGTCCTATCATTGCGGTGAAGGCAAAAAACTTTTTTGAGTTGTTAGGCCTGGAAGGAAATTTTGATGCGTCTTCTGCTTGGTTGACTCGTTTTAAGCAGCGACATGTCGCTGCTTAAAACGAGTCACCGAGAAAATGAGTTATTTCAGTAATAAGCACCTATATAAAAAAAATTATTATTTTGATGTCAACATGGCATATATGATTAATAATATGAATAGTATTATCATTAATTTAAGCAACAGTATTGAGTCATTGTATATTTATAGTGAATCATTATTTTAATATTTGCATATAATCATTGTTTTGAATCATTGCATTTTAGAAATTGTATAGAATTAATGTTTTTATAGTGTATTTATAGTCTAAGTGCAATTATTCATTTAACTGTATTAATTGTATTAAATGGAATTCGAGAAATTGGACTTCATGGGGAGAAACTTAGTGGTGACCAACAATTGCACCATGAATTTGAAGAATTTATTTTGGTTAATCTTTAGATTATGGTAACTTGGCGATTTTTTGGTGAAAATTTGGCAACCGACCCTGCTACAGCAACCTGCTAGTTTATGATTAGGTGAGAATCATGACGAAAATTAGGTGCGAAATTGGGAGAAAGTGCAGAATCGCCCACTGCTTGCCACATTTTTAAGAATTGCACATACATGGTATCCATGTACCGTCGGACCTATTTTCACTTAAAAAAATCCCATAATTGCACAAAAATGCATTGCGCACACTCTTGCTTTACCCAGTACTACTAAGTCTACTAGTCCTTTATGCCTTACCAAAATGTCGCCAAATACCTGTTACCATTCCAAGATTATCTTTATTTAGAGATATTTTTGAACAAATTTACAATGCCGGCGAATCAGGATTTTTGTGGAAATGTCTTCCCACTCGCACTTTAGCATTTGAAAGTGAAAGTAAAGCGGCGGGTCATAAAAGCAGCAAGGAAAGGATCACCATCATATCTTGCAGTAATGCTACCGGTAGACATAAACTTAGACTTGCTGTCATTGGAAAGTAAAAAAAAACTGAGATCTTTCAAAGGCACAAGGGTAGAAAATTTGCCCATTAATTACTTTAACCAAAAAAAGGATGGATGAACCAAAATATTTTTCAAGAATGGTTCGAAAAAATCTTCAAGTGCATAAACATCTTAAATCGAAAAACCTGCCTTAAAAAGCTGTGCTTATTGATTGTCAATGCACCTTCTCACCCAGCAACAAGTGTGCTAAAGTCTTCTGATGGAACAAATTCTTGCAAAGTTTCTCCCCTCAAACGTTACTGCGCTAATCCAAGCCTTGGAGCAAGGAGTCATTGTAACAATGAAGAGAACATACCAAACCAAGCTGCTAACAACCAAAATTGAAGAAGGTTATGATCTGAAAGAGTTTTGGAAACACTACACAATCTTGGACAGCATCTACGATATTGCATCTGCATGGGACTCAGTGAAACCGTAAACCCTCATAAAATCATGGAGAAAACTCATGCCTAATGTTGAAGCCAACAACAACCACCTAACCCCTTTGAGTTGTGAAGAAGAGAATGAAGATGTAGACACGCCCACGGCAACTCTTTGCCGATATGGTGAAAACAGTTCCGGGTGGTGAGAACGTCGATGCTGAAAACATTAACGAGTGGTTGGAGTGTGACGTCAATGAACCTGGCTTCGAACGCTTGACAGATAACGAAATTGTGAAGAAAGCAAGGGTAGAGACCGAAAATGAAGGAGAGTGAAGTGAAGGCGAAGAAGAGCCCACTGTGCAGATGCGAAACACTCACGAAGCGGCTTTGCAACAAGTTGACGGACTGATGAGCTATTTGGAAGAACAAGACGACACAGAGTTGGCCGAGAAACTTATGCTACGAAAAATGCAATCTCGGATCAAGAGAAAATGCTTCCAAAGCAAGAAGCAAACACAAATGACTGATTTCTTCAAAAAGGTGTAGTTTTACAGTTATGCTTTTGTAATTACATAATACATTACAGTATTAAAACAGTACATATGTATTAATTTTTCTGTGTATCCTTGACGCCTCTCGTAAGTACAAAAGCACTTTTCTGTTTTTCATTAACAAAATGCATTTTAGGTAGTTTTGAGTGATATACTAAAATATTAAGCGTTAGTTAAACATTTCCTGCTGTTTATTTTACGTTTTATTGTACATAAAACGATTTTTCAAAGTTGAAATGGCTGTTTTCTCTTTTGCTACACCTGTTTTTAGCTTTTTTTCGGATTATCCGTGTTTTTTGTTATCCGCACGTCCGCGCCACCCAATTCCGCGGATAATCGGGAGTGTACTGTATACAGATTCTAGTTTATGTTGTGATGGCAGTATACAGATTCTAGTTCAGATTATTTTAAACAGTTTTTGATGGTGTCAAGGAATTCTGTGTGCGATACACTGAAGACATAGAAATTTCTAAATAAAGTGAGTTGATATTTCCTTTTTGTACTGAGCAGATTAGACAACATGTATTCCCATTTTTATGTTATTTTCTTGTTTTATTTTGATTTAAAATGCAGTTCATTGAGGCTATAATTTTTTATGATATAATTAAGTTTTACTGCATTATGTTTAAAAGGGGTCATCAAATGAAAAGGTACGAAGTGACGTAAAAATGTAACAGTTAAATAATTGCATATTCTGTAATGGGAGAAGTAGTGAGACAGCTTGGGATGTGATAGAGTCTCTGACTTGGATCGGAGCATGCTCAGGCACCCGCATGCGCAGGAGAGAGCAGAGGCTGTTATCAAAAGAGGCATCCAAATGATGCGGCAGTCCATATGAAGAGAGGATGGCATTCGCGTTGCAAAATTCGACGACTGGGGAGCAGCGAGGTGTTATATGATTTCTGACAGCGGAAGGTGAAAAACCGGCAGCTATTCATCGCCGGATGGTGACAGATTACAGGGAGAAATATGTCTCTGACAAGTCTGTCAGAAAATGGAGAGCCTGTTTTCGTGCAGGCCGTGAGAGTGTGGGTGATGACCCTAGACCAGGCCAGGCAAACACTGTCATCACGAGTGATCTCATCGACAAGGTGGACAACCTAGTGAGAAGTGATCGGCGTGTCACACTGCAAATGTTGACGGTGAAGGTGGATGTCAGCTATGGAACCGTGTGGACAATTGTTCACGACAGGTTGCGATATGTGAAGATTTGTGCCGCTTGGGTTCCGAAGCAGCTCCCCGACCAGCAAAAGGAACTGCGTATGGGGCTAGCACAGCAACATCTGTTTCGGTATCAGGAAGACCCCGCTTTCATGGAGCAGATCGTCACAGGTTATGAAACCTGGTGCAATCACTACGAGCCAGAGACAAAGTGGAACAGCATGCAGTGGAAGCATGCGTCATTACCTCCCCCTAAAAAGTTCAAAGTCGTGCCGTCAGCAGGCAAGGTGTTGCTCACCGTCTTTTTCGACGTTCAAAGTTTGCTACTTGTGGAATTCCTCGAGCACAGAAAAACAGTTAATTCCGATGTGTACTGGGAGACACTCCGAGGCCTACGCAGGTCCATCAAGGACAAAAGACCGGGGCTATTCACGGAGGGTTGGTTCTGGTCCATGATAACGGGCGCCCACACGTTTCTAGAGTCACACACATGGAACTGGCCAAGTTCAAGTGGGAGACGTAACATCCGCCCTACAGTCCGAACATGTCGCCCTGCGTTTTCCATGGGTTTGGTCCACTGAATAAACACCTGAAAGGGTAGCGCTTCAACTCGGATGACGTACTCAAGGACGCTGTGAAGGACTGGGTCTTGTTACGGCCACAGGAATTCTGGGAACAAGGAATCCTGCGGCTTGCCCATCAGTGGGATTGTTGTGCCTATGGTATATATTTTGAATAAAGTATACATTTGTACCCACCGTGTCGTTTCGTACCTTTTCATTTGATCACCCCTTGTAGATGCCATTTTACTTGTTAGGGAGTTACACATAAACAGGAATGGCGAAAAAAAAAAAAAATCACCATTTTCGCCAAGGGGTACCTTGAAATATATTCTTCTGCTAAGATTCAGATTATATGAAAGTACTTTTCATTCTCTGAACAGAAAAATATAGTTCTACAAAGATAAATAGGCACCACAAAACATAACTTCCAAAGAATAAAACAAATACTCACTCGAGAGTTGGAATAATATAATTCATTTTCAAGCTTTCTACATAAGGGCTAAGATTTGCAGTTCCTTCTATAACAAAAACAACATCTGCTTGCCAACTTCCTTGGTCTGCAACCACCATGGTTGAAGAATAAAAAGAAACTATGAATAAAAGAACTGTATCAGGAATTATTCCTTCGTCTAACTCATCTTATAAATAAAATACATTTATGAATAACTTAGTAAAAATTCTTAGCAATAAAGAAAAATTTCATTCTAAGAGCATCATTTTGAGAGTCTCTAAACAACAAAAATTCTTATAAAAATATTAAATATACAAGTTTAAATTCCTTAATTTCATACTTCACTTCTATATTTACAACTAAATGTGCACTAATCTATATTTCTTTTTCAAGGTATTTTTTCTATATTATAAGAAAATTCGAGCAATATAACCAAATACTGTCTGCTTATATTACACCCACCACAACCTTAGATTAGTTGTCAAAGATGAAATACAAAGTGTGATGGAGATGAGAAAACAATTCAAAATTCTTCCAAATATTTATATGTATTTTGAAAACATAAACAACAAATATACTTACAATTATTTAGTTAAAATCTCAGAGCTCATTTATGTGTCAGAAAATACAGTATTACTGTTGAGAAGTGAAGCTCACAAGGCTGAGAAAAATAATCAGTAATTAATTGTTAACTTTGCAGAAACAAAGGTATGATGCATATTTCAGTAAATTAGAATTTTCAAGTATCAGTTTATATTTGTTAATTATAATATTACCTTAAATGTAAATAAGTTAGAGAAAATGAAGGAAGGAGGAACTATGAACCAAGACTTATTAAATGGACAAAAAAAGACTTCAGCATATGCATCTTCATGTAAAGATTACAGAACTCGTCTGTTATCGAGACCGGGTTCAGAAACAAATGTATGGATGGATATATATATATAGATATATCTGTTCATGTACATGTTATACATGTATGTGCACACGCACATAGTACATATATGTACATGTATGTGCACACGCGCATAGACACATGCATTCCTGAATCCGGGCCAAATAGCAGAAAATTACAAGATTACATAATTATAACAATTAAGTTTTCAGTATAGGTATACATTTTTAAAATATGCAATATATTATGAACAGGTCTCATATTTATAACTCTGGGTACTTCCCATCATGCACCTGCCACGCTTTTTGGCACCTCTGAAAGAGAAGCCAAATACATGCCAAGAACCAATAATAGTGCCATCTGGGATATCACTGTGTTTATACATGTATGTATAAATAAACTACTGTTACAACTTGAAATTTTTTACAATTAAATTACCCTCCAAAATGCTTAGCAAGTGCATAACAGATAAAGTACCTAGGTGAGTAAACAGAACATAATATTAGCAAAAGTGCTTTTATGTGTTTCTCTTTAGGTCTGTGAGCAAGTTATCTAGTTATAATTCATATTAATACATGTTTTGTTGAAAGGCCAACTTTTGTATACACAAGAGAAAATTGCATATGCTCATATCAGAAGCTGCATAATGTTCGTTTAGCCAGTGTTAAGTAACATGGGTTAATCATTGGATTATGGTAACTTGGCTATTTTTTGGCGACCAACCCTGCTACAGCAACCTGCTAGTTCTTTTTTCGGATGCCATTTTGTTTTCACGAAGTAAAGGCAAAGTTTTTCTTTTTCTTTTTTTTTAACGCAACATTTTTCCTAACAATCTGCTAGTTGAATTACACTTATGCTAGAACTTTTATGGAACAAAAGTGCTTAATCATGACGAAGATTAGGTGCAAAATTGGGACAAAGTGCAGAATCGCCCACTGCTTGCCCCGTTTTTACGAATTGCACATACACGGTATCATCCATGTACACGTCGACCTATTTTCACTTTAAAAAAATACCAGAATTGCACAAAAATGGCATTGCGCACACTCGACTATATCCATGTACACTGCTAAAGTCCTAGCTAGTAACCTTTATCGCCTTACCAAAATGTCGCCAAACTACCTGTTACCATAGTCCAAAGATTAGCCGTAACATGTACAGGAAAAATAAACATAGATTATTTAAACCCATTACGTAAATTTATTTCAAATTATATTTTTCAAACTGTTTCACGGACAAGCAGAACAATGCCGAGACAAAATGCATGGATCCCCAGAAAAGGGGCTTGCAATACCGTTTTGAATATATTTTGGGGAAAGTGCAGAATCCCCCACTGCTTGGTGCATTTTTAAGAATTGCACATACTCAGTATCCATGTACACATCGACCTATTTTCACTTTAAAAAAAAAATCCCAGAATTGCACAGAAATGGCATTGTGCATTGCCTTGTCTTTATCCCACATTGAACATTGATGTTGGTAAATTTGTTTCTGATAAGAACCCACAATGTTCAGCTCGCTTCAGAAATATCATCTCGTACACATCGACCTATTTTCACTTAAAAAGTCAAAGAAAATTGACAAAAATCCAATTCTTCTTACTCTTGTAAAAAGCGCCAAATAAATAGGTGGGCGATTCTGCACTTTATCCTATACTTTTTCTACAAACATGCACGTCTTTAAAATATATGTTAATAAAACATTGTGGATTCTTATCAGAAACAAATTTACCAACATCAATGTTCAAGTGCATGCTATTACAAATCTGTATGTGCACTTTACACCTGCACTGCAAATCTGCATACGGTATGCAACAACTAACAACTGATCCCATAAAGTAAACCAGGTAACATCTGATGCACTGAGTTCTTTGCCGAAGCACCAACGCGTTCTTTGCGGATGAAAACCCCCTTAAAAGTAATGCATTCGTTTGTCAACATTAAAAAATTCTAAAAAGCTGACAAAACTAATCTTTTATAGTTAAAAGATCTAGTTTCCGGCAATCACTACGTGAAATAAAAGCAAACGATATCAGCGATTTTTGGTTTCTCGTGAAATATCTTCAGAAATATCATCTCGTGAAATTTCTTTCCTTCGCTCAAATAAGTTACTCAGGTAAGCAATAGGTAAAAGTAAACTTTCATCCGGCGGGGGGATGTCTCGAAAGTAATTGCAAAAGAAGTGAAGTATTTTCTAAATTTTAAAATAAAAATGCTTTATTTGAAGGCCTTACCTAAATAAAATTAAATAAAAAGAACTTGATCACATGAGATCACATTGGGTAGCGAACATTAGTTTGAAACCCTAAATTACAAGAAGTTTTAAGCATTCTATGCCATTCACAGGCCATCATTTCTTGCACCTACTATATGATAATTCATTTCAAAAAAACATATATGAGAAATTGCACAGTATACGGAAAGTGAGATAACTCATGTTGCCACTTTTCTTCTGAAGTCTTCATTTATAAATAGAGCATTGCACTTAGTCGAAGTCTCTTTTTCAGAATTTTGAATACATAGAAAGCAATTTATTTCACACATACCGTTACATAATATAAAGGAGAAACAAAATTAGACCTTTAACATCCGGTCATTCCGTTTGAGAAACTTACAGAAATAAAAATAAGGATAAGGTTCGGAGAACAGCCTTGGTTGCGCCAACTTGGCTCCTTTAAGGATATGGGCGACATTTCATTATGCCAACGGAAGTAAATATCATGTGGGGAATAGGTGCTAAGGAGAAAAGCAAAATACATGGGGAAAAACGGGATTAAGATGTGTTTATATTTGTTTGGTATCTGATCGCTAGTTTGGTTTTGTTATGTTGCTAAATTAGCATTAAAAGTCCATTAATGTACGTCTATTGCGAAAACGGAGGGCAATTACTTTTCGATGCGATTTTATATATGTATTAATATATCACATTCCTGCTCATATGATCTACATGTGTATCAGATAACTAGCTACTCTTGACACTAACTTTTTCTGCTTTGAAAACCCAAGTATTGAAATATTATGTGTGGTGTGTGCTTGTGAAAATATTATTTCAGATATTGTCGCATAACTAACTATACTATAATCTCATATTATTCAGTTCTCATATAACTACGATAGAAATATGCTTCTATTATTTACTTTAAAAATGCAGTATTTGATAGCCTTCCACATAGCAGCCATTCTAGAATTAATTCTGTAATTTTATATAATGTTAATTGTCTTATGTATTATTTTGTCTGAATATGCATTTTCGTAAAGAATATATAATCAATGTAGAAAATGTGAGTTCAATATATTTTAAAGACAGAAATAATAAACAAAAAATAAAAGGGAGGACTACACATGCAACCAGATAAAAGTGAGGATACTCTAAAGAAAGTTAATAAACTCAAAATGATGTGAAAATATAGCCCATGCCACAAAATTCGCTTAAGTATTATTTCTGAGTGGTAAAACAGAACATATATATCTGAGTGCATTTTTTATATCTAAAATAAAATCTGTTATTAGTTGCTGATGAAAAAGTAAGAAAACAATTTTTATGAATAGAAATTTATGTAGCTGAGTATTGAAAGTCTGATACGTCATCGACACTGAAATAATAGCAATTTATATATTGTATGAAAGTGAAAAAAAAGTGTTGCTTTTTAAAAAAACTTCAAAAATCTGAATAATTTTCAGAACATATTTAAATTTAAAACAATTAAGAATATACTGTTTCTTCTTAGAAGTCATTTTTTTATAATTATATGCCATATACTTTATGTACAGATGAAGCATGGCCAAACTGAGACTCAGAATTCATAATTTACTCACTACGTAAGCAACTAACTCACGTTGTTTTGCTTTTGAAACATAATTGTTATTTGAAACAGAATTTGTGTGTCTTTTTAATAATTACTAATTAAATTTTTTTGAAATCACATTGTGTGTATAATAATTTTCAAAAACTATGCCTTATTTGCTAATCTCTGATAAGTAAAACAAAAGTCAAACAGTGCCATATCTGTAACTACCATGTTGATATTACTCTTGAAATGTGTAGTGGTCATCAGTGTAGCAGTAAAAATTAATGTTTTTTATCCTGGTAGCACCTGCATTCATAATGTACCTCAAATTATACTGAATGTCCTATAAATATCTGTACTGTGATTTGCATTAAGAAATAGAAAACATAACTAATGATCCAAATTTCCAATGAATTAGTTGTTATGTGATGCAGTAGTGAGGTTTGATCCCTATATTGATTCATTCCTCCCTTTTTTTCTCATGCTTTTTACCATTACCATGAGGAGATTGTATAGATTAAGAGTCAAGTAAAAATCCATAGTTCTGTACTATTTTCAAATTACTGCTTTATTTTTACATTATTGTAAACAGCAGTACATCGCTTCTTTTGTTTTCAGTTTACTGCTATTAAAATCTGTTTTTAATTATAACCGAAAAAGAAAAATTGAGAATCTGAAGGAAAAGCTTTATTTATTAGATATAAAAAGTAAAGTTTACAATTCGTACATTCAAGGAATGTACTTCCTCGTATACTGAGCAAAAGCAGTAACAGTTATTTTGGTACTGTTCTATTATCAAGGGACTAGATTCAAAAATTTATGAACATGTGTTGGTATATATGTGTATTTGTATGCACACATATATTTGTACTTATGTATACAATGAACATGCATACATAAACGCATACATACATTTCTGAATTCGATTCCGATAACAGAACAGTATTGCTATTTCTTTATTCGTGTAAGTAAGCATTATTGTTGAAATAAGAAAACCTTGGCAATTTACTTAAAATATTTCTTTTTTATTGAAAAGCTTTGCTAATTTTGAAACATGATAAACACTAATTGTGTTTCTTGAATATTTCTGAATTGTAACATGCAGTTCTTACTAACATGATGTTTGAAGATTTTGAAATAGAATTACCTAATACAGGAATATAACTGCCTATGCAAATATTCTTAAATCTTTGGGAAACTTGTCCAGTCTTTATGAACCAACATGTGCAAAAGATCATTAAACACCAACAGGTGGTTTCTGGAGTTGGTTACATAGTATGATTTTTACTATTTTCAACTTTTCTTAATTTTTAGTATCTACTCAACATATTGTGAACTTATAAGTTTTGTGCAATAAAACATTTGTGAATTTATTTTTCTTTTTAGTCACAACTAAAGTTGTACCCTGGAAAATGATAATACAGTTGCACAGGTTTTGAGAAACATAAATGTTACAGTAGCATGACTAATCTGAGAATACAAAGGAAGTACAGTACTTTATGGCCTTCCCTTTCACAAAAAACACAAAAATACTTCCTACGTACACATTTTAGAGATGAATATTTATGATGGTAATGTGTTTTTGAATGAAGATTAAAAGGATATTACTTTTTGATTCATCAATTATTATAAAAGTATCTGAAAAGCGTGGCTTTAATTATAATAAATACTATGACATAGATGTATTAAAAATAATAAAACAACCTATTCTGCCCCATGCATCTCTTTCGCCATTGCTAGAAAATCCTTCCTTCCCTTCTCCTCTCCAACTCTTGAAAAATGCATATACATTTATTTAGATTCAGACTATGTTTCAACTTGTTTTATAAAATTAAACAACAAAAGTGTAGAAAATGTTGATAAGTGCCAAAACTTGAACAAAAGTAGATTTTGATATTCATGAACTAAAACTAAATACTTAACATATAAATAAAAGGCTGACCATGTTCTTTTCGTTCTTCCCTGAAGCCCCCTTGGTTGAAAATCCCTGTTGTAAAAGATATATCAAGATAGGATATGAAAAAATATTTTTTAAAAAGTAATGTATATTTCAAATCAAGTTGAATGTTTACCTCACAAAAGCATTCAAGGGATGGCTGCTATGAGCCATCCCTTGAATGCTATATATATAACTGGCTAAAGGGTTTTTTCAAAGGATTATTAATATGTATGTATGTTAATTTTTTCGCCACTGAGAAGTGAATGTTTTATCAAGTGAAGTGTATTTTGAAAAATATTTTAGCTAATGGAGATCATTTCATAAAATATTTAGAAAGTTTCAATTAGGCATTAGCAGTTGTTACCTGTTATATACAGTGCATGAAATTATATTACTGGATATTCAGTAATGATTATTAACTTGTGTAATTATGAGTACACATTCAGTGTATGCGACACCATAAATACTGGATCAAAGTTTCACTAATAACAATCATGGTAATACAGTAAATTTTAACTTCTCTTGAAATCAGTAATCTATATTTGTAACATATAATACATTGTAGCATTTAATGGTGTTAAAATTGACCAGCTATATTTTCTAAATATAATGATGTTGGTACCATTATAAAGGACTCGATTTAAAATATTGGAGGCCATGTGATGTTTTGAATGTGGCAGATGTCACTAATGCATGTTAATGATATTATTCATGTAAATAATGTACAGTGCATTCGCATATAAAGTATTTTGTGGAAATAGCCTTTTATTATTTATTTACAATTTTAATTTGTTGTTATTTAAAGAAAAAATATGTCACCTTTTTGAATGTTTTGTTTTTATGTTTTCAGTTTGTTATCTACTGTATTAAATATAAACTTACACATTTTTAACACAGTTTTCTTTTTTCTTCTTCTTTTTTTTTTTTTTTTTTTAATCTGAAAGAAACAGAAAATGTGAAGTACTTTAAAATACATACTGAATTTGTGCTAAACTCTTACCAAGTCACAGATATGTGACAGTTTAATGCAATTAAATTGTTTATCAATTCAAGAATGAAGTCTATGAATAAAATATAAAATTAAAAAACTTTTTATTGCAACTGTGAAAGAAATAATTTTGTCTAGTGAATCTTCCTTTGGTATTTATATATTAAAACCATCTTAAAAATTAATTTTGAATTTTGATTATATAAAAGTTTAAATGAATAAGATGGCAGTTCTTTTTATATTTTATATCTCTATAATTAAATAGTCATCAATTAAAATTTTAAAAAATGCTTAAGTAAGTAGAATATTTTAACAAAAATGGTCAGTTGAAAAAGGGACATTGAATATAGTTTTTGATTAGTCTTTATTCAAAAATATCACTGCCTGCTGCAAGAGTACGAGATAAAAATACAAATTCTGATAAAAAGCTGAAATACAAATTTTGACATTTCATACCTACTTCTTGTAGTTTTTCTAAGTAGCCCACCAGCGACCAAGTGAATAAGAAAGCTGAATATTGTTAGTTTGACTCGTGTTGAAATCCCAATGAGCAGGCTGACTGCATGAGTGTTTGGATGGCTTTCCATATGAAACATAAATACAAACCAGTTTCCTCTAGAAAGTCTTCCACGAAGATATATGTCTCCTTGAGCAGATATTCTCATGTGTTTTTGCTTTAATAAATTAATCTGACCTAACCCTGATTATCAGTATACCCCTATAGAGACTGAAATCTCAAGCATACCTGAATTCTGTAGATGTTTGTGTCTTCCATACTATAAACAAACATCCACCAGTGGCGAAATCCCTAAATATGGATGCTTCA